GGTATCGGGGTAGACAGGAATATCCGCAGTCAAAATAATATAAAGGATAGGACTCAAGACACTGCCTTGTGGAATTCCCACGTCAATTTTATAACAGTCGGAGAATGAAGTACCGTACCGAACTTGAAAGCCCATGGAGACAGGATCAGATCTGATAATTAAATAATTAGATATCTATCGTCGTTAGATATCTAATGTCGAAAAACCATCATGTAACATTTTAGAAAATTAAGTTATAATAATAATAATACTTTCTAAGTTATTATTAATAAGTTAGTGAATAATTTGATGTGTTTTCTCTCTGTGAAACCACTACCTTGTTCACTTACAATTAGTGTGACAACTTTTGCCCTATCGATGTGCAAAAGTACTAAACTCCGTTTTAGTAAACTTGATAATGGGAAAATAACAGTTTAATAACTAACAGTAGTACAATTCATAATCATTTAAAGGTTATATATACAAATTTACTTTCAAATCTCTATAGTTCTGAGAGTGAAGTTATGTGGTTTACAGAAACAGATATTGTGATACGGTTGACTCATTGTGTTACACATAATTGTAAACAGAGTTATGAGGTTTTTTTGTCTACCGTTGATGTTTTTGAGATATTTTAATGGCCTAATGAGTTGTTACAGGTTAGTTGTAAAGTTTAACGTTTAGCTTCATTAAAAATGCACTTTGGAATAGCTCGATATTGCTAGAAAATAATTTATATTTAAAGTAGAGAGTTAAGTGAATGTACCGCGCATCAGATTTTTAGATTTGTGGATGCTATTTAGGGATATGAGTTCGATAGGGAGATTGCAATGTCATCAGGAAATGTTGCTAAGGTTAGGGACGTCCTGCTCTCCTTGCCCCATACACTCGCTCCGACAATTTTTTAACGAGATCTCTCTCTTGTTCATTCTGATACAACAGTTAGTAGTTGGTTCCAAGATGTCAAGAGAAGCATCCTTAGAAGGAGAATCAGTGGTAATCGGGTCTTAAAAGTTTTAAAAAGTAGCACAGTTCACATATCACGGGTCAATTGTGACACAGCAATGCAACCGAACAAAAGATCAAGAATAAGATTGTTTTGTCTATTCGGTACTACTTCGGGCATATAGACACTTAACGTGTCACCACCTCTACAGACAAACCAAATTATGTCTCTATAAAACTGTAATACGTCCAATACTTCTTTATCAGCTCTGATACATGGAATCTTTCAAAGAACATTGAACAAAAACTTCAAATCTTTTAAAGATAACTTCTTCATACGAATTAGGGAGAGAGAAAGTAGGCAACGAATGGAAGATATTGACGGATTGTTTATTGTCTTAGTGCCTAAAAGGCCCTTTCTTACAGACAATAACATAATAACATTTTGAATTCTACAATTTTCATTACAATATACATTTTACTTTAATTATAATATGTTAGTAAATTTTTATGATATGGATGTTAGTATTAATACTATTAATAAATAAAATAAGATAGTAAGAAGGAAGAAAGAGAGAGAAAAAATAAAAACATAGTGATTATCGGTGAGGCTAGAGCGCTAAGAACCGAAAAAAATGAAATAAATGGATAAAAATAAAATTGAAAGTGTAGGAGGAGAGGGGGAGGGAGAGAGAGAAATTGTAAAAACTATGAATCGTTATGATGCACTCGACCAGCCCGCGGTCATAAATCGCCTTAAACAGGCCTTCCGAAAGAAGGATGTCGACCATACCTCTACTGGAAGCCGGTTGAACTTCTTCGCCGCTACAGAGTGAACAGTGTTCTTCATAATCCTAGTTCTGCAAGCTGGCAACTGGAATGCTCCCTGTAATCTTTCACTATGCACCTCTACAAATCATGTCCTTAGTTCTTCGGGGTCCCTAAAGTCTAGAACTTTTCTTGCTTGGCACCTCAAATTGAGTCTACGGTAGTCTTTAGTTCGTAACCACCCTAACGTATTTATATATGGAGTGATGTTATCTTTCCTTTTTATACAATATAAGTAACGTATTGCTGCATTAAGAGCCCTCTGAATTGTGGTATCTTCGGAATCCGATATGTCAATGTACACTGACCCACAATACTTCACTAGAGGTAGGATAATTTTTTTCTTGACTTCAGTTGACAAAAATCGCTTTCATCTAAAGAGGAAATGCAGAACACCGTATATCCAGACTGGCATGGTCGCGCCATGGAGTAGAAGCTCCTTCGCTCCATTTGGCATGGAGAAGAGAAACCAAGAGCTTTGAAATATATATCGAGGGCATGATGTTGCTCAAGTCCTACGAAGGGGAAGGCTGTGTTCCATGTGGCCTCATGGAAGACGAAGAGATGCCGGGGAAGATGTTAACTGATTAACGGAAGAAAAGTCGACGCTTCGATGGACTGATGGTGCGGCAAAGGATTGGATGGTGGACTATCAGAGAAAAAGATGTATTGTGGATGATGGTTGAGGAGGCCAGGATTCACCACTGAGTAGTAGTGTCCAACTAATAATAATAAAACGTTACCTGACCTGCTTTCTCTTCTATTGCTTTAGCTTTTGTTGAAGGAGTGAAAGTCATTACTCATAAAGCTTGTTCATGATATTTATGAAAATCAGATTTGTTTTCAGCAAGATATTTTATTATTTTCTATAGGTTTTGGCCTTATCTGTTGGTGTTTCAGTGCCATTTGTTCTACTTCGACATAAATACCTTTCAGAACCTGTTATTTCGTTTAATTGGGAAGATAGTAATTGAAAATTGTATGTTTTATACGAAATCAATGTTCTCGAATAACCCAGACTTTAGATAGCAGATTTCAATTATCCCAGGATTCTCTGGAAATTGGTGTGGATCCTGTCGCCTCTTTACCATAAAGGTTGAGTATTTGTACTTCTGGGTTTTGTTCTTTCATTATGAAGAAACTTTCGTTTAATGGTCGAAGAACGAGTTGTCGGGCCTAACGATAGTGGTACCCCAAGTATATGACATACCTCATATCTCATTTTCCTCGTAAAAAACAAATAAACGAAAACTTCTGCGTTCTCTTGGCCTTGTTTCTCGGGGAGTAAGCATTAGGCCCAGATGAGCTTTATGCTGAAAACAGCATGGCCTGTTTTCAACCAGTTCAACTGTTACTAACTGTCCTGGTGAAGGCTTGACCTGTTTTAAGTGAAAAATCAAAGACATTATTAAAAAAAATAGGTGAATTTAAGGAGCCAAGTAAATCATCACAATCAAAGCACATGCACAGATCTTTAGATATTATTCTATCTGAAATTAAAAAATATACTGAATTCTAAATAGCTGACCGTTGTATTATTAAGGAAGGAGATGGTCCGGGGTGACGGTAAAAAATAGACTAAATGTTGTTAAAACTATTTTATTAAAAGCCAACCTTTCGACCCGGCTAAGTTATAAGTGAAACTCCTAGCTGAACAAACCTCCCTGAAGAAGACCTGCAAAGTCAGGTCGAAACGTTGGCTTTTAATAAAATAGTGTTGCCATTATTTAGTCTATTTACGACCGCCACCCCGTACCATCTCCTTCCTTAAAAATTATATTCTTTTAATTTTAGAAAATTTGTTTTCAAAATGAAAAATAAGTTTTTATTTTTCTTCTTTAGTTAATTATCAAATTATTTTATATTTATCTATTTTTGTTGATAATGAGATACGGTTAATTATTTCAAGTAATCAAAAATAAAGGTATTTTATGGACAACAATTTTGAAAATTCGGCGTTTAAGTCCTGCCATACTATTTCAATGAGGTTGATACCTACCCGATATTGATGACTATTTCATTTTACAAGTTCAATCAAAATCGTTTCAGCTAATTTTGAGATTTATTCGCCGTAACGTCCTGGATATGTGCTCACTTAAATACTTAATTTATGTTTCGTACGATTTTTGGTATTTTAGCTCCGATGTTCACACATTCCATTTTCACTGCAGCTTCGATTCAGAGATTGACTTTCCTTTACTATGTATTTCAAATAAAACGAAGTGAGAGTGAAAATATGGAGCGGCTTGCATTACGCAACTTTCATATACTACTCTACTTAAATAACTAAACGTCAGCATAAATGTAGGTAGTTATATAGAAATCAGAACGAAAAGAAAAGAGAACTAGTCTATATTACACGTGTTTTTAATAATGTTAAGTAGAAGTTTAATAACCAAATCAATTAGCACTATTTTGTGAGACATGGTTATTTGGACTCAGAGGTACTCAAAACAAGTATATTTGTTTATTAATTGGTAATTGGTTGACTGTCGTGGATAATGGAGAGAAGAATAGTTGGGGTGGTCAGTCAAAAAGGAAGGCAAAAATAAATAATAATATTTATTTTTTACATATGCCGACGTTTCGACCTGAAGTTCAGGCCTTCATCAGGGCTGTCTCCTTAAGTGTCGCAAGGAGAATAATTCTTTATTATTATTATTCTCCCTGCGACACTTAAGGAGACAGCCCTGATGAAGGCCTGAACTTCAGGTCGAAACGTCGGCATATGTAAAAAATAAATATTATTATTTATTTTTGCCTTCCTTTTTGACTGACCACCCCAACTATTCTTCTCTTCATTATATTTGTTTATTGGGTAGTCCGGAAAATAATGCAGAATTTCTGCACATTTGAAGCATTATTCTTTTTTATGGGCGTTAACTCTTATTAATCGACTTCCAAACAAAAACATTTTTTATTTTCTTTAGCAATAATTGCTAAAATAATTCAAACGTTACTTAAATGTCAAGATTTCGGTATAATTTCGTTTTACGAGTTTAAATTCTGTCTGAACGGGTCTAAAACTGCCAGAAATATTAATAAAGTGTGAAGGGACGACAGTGTGAGTGAGTGTATAGTTCAACGAATGTTTAAAAAAAAAAAAAATAGAGTGGGAGAAGTCAACCTTAAAAGATGAAGACGGTCGTGGAATAAACTCTATAAAATTCTAGTTTAGTTGATCTTCAACAGGATTTGATTTATTTAGATGAACCATCGAAGATCCGTCATTACGGGTGATTGACGAAATGGAAACTTCCCGTACCCCTGGTTTCCCGTTCGGGGGGTGTCTACCCCCGGGAATTCCCCCAGTCCTTGGAGAACCCCCTCCACAAATGAACCGCGCCGCGGTGGGAGGCGGCTGTAGTCGATCAAGCGTCATTCACCATGAGGCTCTTCTGCATGATCATCTCTCTGATAGGTCAGTATGTTATCTTATCATATATCATCATATAACATATAAACATATACACATTTGACATGCTCGCTTATATACATACATACACTGAACACTATAGTATATAACATATAGTTCTGCGTCATCTCGAATCCCGGAAACAACTGCTTAGTAACGACACCTGGAGGTGAGGAGGCGCAAATTATACTTTAATAGTCAGCGGGACCTTGCAATACTTGATTGTTAGCTTGCATTTTTGTTGGCATAATTATTTTCTAATGCCAGCTTTAAACTTAGATCCTTCCCTCTGTTGTCTACAACTCAAAGCCATTCTCATGCGTCATATCTGAAAACTATTTTTTTTGTCGGTACGCCATCCTTCCTTAATGCTTCCTTCAATCCAAGGATAGAGCCATAATTTTAAAGAAAATCTTCTCCTTCACATACGGAAAATAAGAAGATCCCACTGAAAAGTCAGCAAAAAAAAATTATAAAGAAAATAAAACTTTTGATAAATTATTTAATATAAGAAGGGTAAATGAAGTTTGTTTTTAGTTTGAAATTTTTTTTTTTTTAATGTTTAAATACATTACTTTTTTATAATTTGGTTACACACTTTTTCGGGCCTCTGCTTCATCAACAGTACATTCATTATTATTTCATAGGTATCTCTAAGTATACACAAGCGGATCCAACATTTAATTTTGAGGGGGCTTCAGCCCGAAAGCTTTTTTTTTTCTTAAAAATAACGATTGTTACTTTGGAAAAAAATGAAAGAAACTAACTACCTATATGAAATGGTGTTTAAGTGATTCCTATAGTCTTTTTAAATGTAATTACACGAACAATAATACTTTAAGAGATAATTTGTGAATATTTTTTTCCATAAAGCATGGTTATATTTTACCATTTTGGAGGGAGGAGAGCTTCAGTCCCAAAGCCCCCCTCCCCCCGTAGATCTGCCCGTGTACGGATATACTATTAATATATTACTTCCATACAGTTTTTTTGTTTGTTTTTTTGTATTCCATGTATTTTTTTAACCTTCATCAAAGCAATTATTTAAACGGTCCAATAAACAACCTTCACTACCAACAAAAAAAGTATTTCCTCCAGAAAAATACAGAGATAAAAAAATAAGCGATGCTTAACTTTGCCCGTAGCTTAAAAAGTTATACAATTTAGAGGTGATGGTAATCGTAAAAGTTTCTAAATTTTAAATCTTATATGCCTAACAAAATTTAAAAATATCTCCGAAATGGGACCATTATTAGTAAAGATGACCAATTTGATGATTTTAAATAATGAGCATTTTAAGCTAACGAGAAAACAAAGCAGTTCTTCCACTTCGGTTGGCCATACATAACCACGTGACCTTCGACAGATATGGAATACGTTTGATTTTTTCTTATTGTAATGTTTCGTTCTTATATATTTGATTGTATATTGACAGTTTCGAACAGAATGATGTTGACATCCTTGAAATGAGTAACCTTACCATGAACTCATCGATAACACTTTATATTATTTTATCGAATAAAATACTTCCTAGACTCTTCTAATGTCAATTTAAATTGAATTATTCTAAGTTAATATAACAAAAAGTTTATCTGTTTAAAATTCTTGAAGTAAAAAATAACTGTTTTGATCCTTTATATTGCATCTTATATTTTTATATATTTTCTGTATGGCGTTACAAATTGTTTTCTTATAAGTAATTCTTCGTTAAATGATGAATGTATTTATTACTATTGTATTTTCTGTTTTGAATATCAGTAAATATCAATTATTACACTAGATTTTTTATTTGATTAATTCTCTATCTCGGAGGCACAGGCGAATCTACGGAGGGAGGAGGCATTCGGGCTGAAAATCCCCACAGATCGTAAAATGTAACCATGTTTTATGGAAAAAAAATATTAAAAAATTATCTCTTGAAGTATTATTGTTCTTTTAATTACATTTAACAGGACTTCAAGAATCACTTAAGCACCATTTCATATAGGTAGTTAGGATCTTTCTTTTGTTTTCATAGTAATTATCGTTATATATATGAAAAAAAGCTTTCGGACTGAAGCCCACCCCCCAAAAAAAAAATTAAATCCTGGATCCGCTTATGCTCGGAGGTAAACGAAACAATGATATCATATCCCAATTTTAAAGAAAGTCAGTTTAAATCAATCTTTCCTTCCAAATAAAAATGTAAAAGTATTAATATAAATGTTGTACTTATTTGCGTAGTAACTAGTTGTAGCTCCATGCAGTTAGATTTTAGCTTGTTGCATGGATGCTCCCTCTCTCCCTCCCCACAAGGTCGATGGTGAATCAGCCTCCTCACAAGAAACTTTATTGCTCTCCTCTTCTTAAAAAGTGGGTTTATAAATGTAGAATTAGAAAGATTGTATTTCATATACATTTACCCTTACTGTTTCAAGTTATTTCATTTGTTTTCAAGTTTGAAAGTTCCTGTTTTATAAAAAAAAAAAGGCACTCTTCTTGACAGGGATAGAACACAGCCATAGGCGGTGGTAACACGGTCAACCCTACAAGTATTGAGGAGCGGGGTGGTAAACCGAAAAGATATGATTTCCTTAAAAAATTCATAGCCCCGCCAAAATGTGGCTCCCTCAAAACACCGTAAAGATATGACTCCTCAAAAATAATCTTTTCTTCTTTCCCTACCTCGCTATTTGGACCTTGGGCTACCACTGGTGGGCCGCATAAAGCAACACAAAACATTTTACATCATCGGAGAAATACTACCGCTTTAAGAACAAAGTTACCAACTTAACGATTAAATAAAACCATTAAGATATAATAGCGTAAAATTTAGAATTCAATGAACTTGAGGTCATTCACTGATCCAGTGATTATTTAAGGCAATTAGTGTAATTTTACATAATCTGCATATACATGTAAATTAACATACATGTATAATCTTCTATAATTTCTATACTTATAGCACTAAAAATATAATCAAGTTTTATTTGAATATTCATTTTCTTTAAATATTAATATCATACACAAAAAAAGAAAAAAAAACTAAGGTGTGTGCTTTAGACCAAACTATAGAAGTGAAAACATCAACCAGGCGAGATTAATAATATGAAATATAAGTTATAAATAATAGCTCATTATAAAGAGGATGGAATGCTGAACGTTACCCTCGCTTACTGAATGCAGGTCCGATTTTTAGTTTATGAGGTATTTTTTAGTTTTATATCTTCAATCAAAGTCGTTATCATTTGGTTTAGGACACACTCTTTTTCTCTATCTTACTCTCTAGCACGGTGTTCCGTTATGTTTTACGAGGATTGCCTCTCCTTCGTGAGCCACCAGGATGATCGTATAGCATTTGCCTAGGCAATCTCGACGTATGCATTCTTTCGACATGTCCATGCCAGCCCAATCTTCTTTTCTTTATAGCATTAACTATGTCCGCTTCTGGGAATAGTTCTTTCAGCTCGGATTTCCTTCTCGCTCCAAACACATCGTCCTCTCGCACAGAGCCAAATATCCTTCTTCTTTCCAGGTCCTTAGCCTTTTCTTGTTAGCTGCTGTCATAACCCAGGTTTCACTGCTGTAAGTTACTGTAGGGCCAATTATTGTCTTAGAAAGCAATACCTTAGCTTTTTTTAAATCAGGGCAGAACGCATTGCATATAGACACCTATTCCCAGCAGCAACTCGAGCCTTTATGTCCTCTGTCGTTTCGTTTCCTCTCGTGAAGATTCCACCGAGGTACTTGTAAGTCCTATATGCTGTGAAGTGGTGCTTCCCTATCTTAACCTCTTCTTCCTTGAAAAAGCCATATCTAGTGGTCTTCAGGCATTTTGTTTTGTATTTGTACCGTTAAATACAAATACTAAATTGAAAAAATCGCATGAGAGATTCTGCTATTTGCGTCATACTAGTAGTGTTCAACGTGCCCTTTCGGAAAAGGGAATGTCTTGGGCGTATCCAGAAGGAGGGGAGGACAACGTATGTATTAGGAAGAAGAAGGATACATACCTTATGCCTGGGTTTTCGGACTACTTACTTAACTTACACGTATTTACATTTCCTAAAAATAACATGCTCACATAAATGTATTATTTTAATCAGTTAAAAAAAATGCATAACAACTTGAGCCAGAAATATAACAATGCAGTTACGTGGTTAGAGTACGAAACATACATACTGACGACTACTGTTTAACATAAATTAGTTTGTGATTCATTCTTAAAAGAACTATTTTCATTCAATGATTCAAAGAAAAATGACCTGAATATAAACTAGCCCTTCACCTGTTCTAGCGAAGCATGAAGACAATCTACAATATGAAAAATAAATTTTAGAAAAACAAACAAAGTTTACCGAATTTGTCAATTTAATCTATATGTGTACAATGAAATACCATTGAGTCGTTAGTATAAGTAATTAAAAAAATAAGTTTGTTAATCAGATAACATCCTTAGTAAGCTAATCCACAGTGCTACTATTGGTAGAGACTTGGAAAAATATGAAATTTTAGTAAGATAAATCAACTCGTTTTTTAATTAGACAGCTGCAAATAACTCAATTATGGATAAAAAAAAGAAATCTTTCCTAATTTGGCTATAGGTGTGAAATGGATATTATTTTACAGCATTTTAAATTATCTCTCCTATGATGCATTATTCGCTATAGAAAATATTATTTCAAAATCTAGTTTAAATTTCAATCAATTTCATTTTCTCTGAAAATACATATTTTAAATTCTTTAAGTGATTGTGTTGTAGTGAAGAATGAGGCAAAATATAAATGTGGAATGATACTCATATTAATATTTTTCTGAAAACATGAGGCTTCAAATATTAACTCCAAAGTTACTTTTAATATATGTGAAGCGCTGTGCTGACTATATAGCCTCAATGAATAACAGGGAGTTATTCATAGTTGGATATTTCTGACTAATTTCGCTTGGCAGCTATTGACGATATCGGTCTTATAATGTATTAATTATTAGATTTATACTTAGAGGATGGAGGAAAATTAAATTCTAATACATCTACTCTTTTGTAAGAAAAAAGAAAATGGAGTAACGTAAAATGCAAGAAGTACATAAACTACGATCCTCGCTTAGTAAAGATGTTAAAAAGTACTTAATGTACGAGACGTACTACTGAAAGAACTTTGTTTGTTCTTGTATTTAAAAAATATTAACAATAAGTAAGAATCAAAAATTTATTTATGTGTGTACCCTACTGCTGTAAAGTCTGGTAGCCTGGTTCAAATGTTCTGAGATTCAATATACCTTATCGAGATGTTTATATTGTGTATGCTGCGATGACTTACGATATTCCTTTTTTTTTTTTCTTTTTTTTTTTTAAGACCGGCCAAATACTTTGCAGTTTCTGTTCTAGCCTTTGTTTTTTGGGCGCTACTATTGGCTAATACACGATGCCCGTAGATGTCGAAGATGAAGATGACAAATGAAAGGTTCGGAACCTTGACCCCCCCCCCCCCGCCAAGGAACACCTTCAGCGTGGTAATTCTCTATGAGTCACTATCTGTCTTCTTTGACTGTGGCTACTGGGCCATGTCTGAGGCAGGATGGTTTTAAAAGATTTCCAAACCGATTATTGAAGATGTTTTAAATAAATGAAGAAATGTATAAAGAAAATTTGAGGAATATTACTGCACTTCAGGTGGTGATTCAAATTCCTTAAACTCGTTTTAATTCATTGCAACGGATCTCAATATTGAAGAAATACAAAAAAATTAATAAATTGGTGCGGAATTTTGAAAACTAAAAATCTATGTTATTTTTTTTTCGATAACACAATGAAGGATCCTCATATCAAATAAATTTGTAAAATTTAAACAAATCAATATGCGATTATGCAATTCCAAAGTCGTTATTTTTCTATACACTACGCCTCCGAAAACGTAAAAATGGATTAAGTCATTGCAAATTTATACAGAATTGCCCGATCATAAAATCGATATTACATATCTTCCCTTAAATCTTAGATCCAATCTAAATTGTCATTCATGAAATATAAGCGTGTCTAAAAAAATACATTTTACAAGTGGTTGATATAATTTGATAAAATTAGTATAGGGCTATCTATACCAACTTCCAAAATTTTTGAAAATTTTATGAATATTGTATTAATGGTATTGATAATTGATAGTTGATACTCCCATCACATGGGGTTGGATAACATATTACCAACTTTGTTCCTTAACAGAGGTACCCAGAAGGGAGCTTTATGGCGTTGCATGCGCGTGGCAAAGTGCGCCATCAAAACGTTTGAGGGGATTTGTTAATGATCTTTGATTTTTCTAATCCTACCTTAGGCTGCTCTGTTTTTAAGAAAAGTGAGCATTAAAATGTCTTGGGAGCAGGGTAGGCTAGGTTCTGGAGCCATCGACCTTGGGAAGAGAGGAAGAGAGAACCCTGTCCATTGACATGTAAAACGCAAAACGGCGGTAATAATTTTGAAATCATGTTTTTAACCTCCTGCATGAATACAATCAAACCTTTGGTTGTGAGAATACAAAATTATATGATTCATAAGCAATTATTGATTCACTTTTCGGTAATGAAACCTAAAATAATATTTTCAGTTTTGTTTCCTCGTTCTACTACCGTCAGTGAGATTAATATCTCTCTCATTTGCGGTCAGATGATCAATTTAAAAAAATGAAAATCTAGATGGCCTTGAAGTTTTTTTCTCAGCATAGCTTTCCTCTATTTCTTTAAATCATTTATTTGAGAAGATTGGGTTGCGGTCAGTGAATAAAGTAAATTGAAAAATTAAACTGATGTATGCCAATGTTTCGGTCCAAGATTCTGGCTTTCATCGAGGCAGTGATCTGAAGAAATGTTTAAGGAAGTGTGATGCATGAAGATCAAAACCAACAAATATAAATGTTAAACATTACAAAATTAATGTGAAAACCGTTAATAAAATGGACAAATATTTAATAAAACGAACAAATATGTAAAAAAAAAATTAATTATATCTAAAGAAAATGAAAAATAAAATCCTGCACCACTACAACCCGTGAGTTTTCTTGAGTTCAGTACTATATAAGAAAGTACTGTTTCTTGGTTAACGGTTGTGCAAGATTTGATACAGCCAGGTTTTCTCCTAAATTAATTAACTAATTAAGAGCACCGACTTTAGAGAGGCTGGGTGTGCCCCAGGAGTCTCCCCCGAACCTTTGGTCGACCCACGGCCGATGAAGAATAAATCATTACCTGCCATCAGCCGGATTCGAACCCGGGACCTTTAGCTATAGAAGTCTGTGCCCTATCCACTGAATTGACTCACTTCCATAATTAGCCCTAAAAATTCAATATAACAGAACTAAACGATTTTCCTTTACATTTACATTACGTGTTATACATTTAAAAATTACAAATCAATATTAGTTATATTTTTGTTTAAACTTTCATTTTGCATTTATTGATTAAATAATGATATTCCGTTGTGTAAGTCCTCTGTTTTTATTTAATGTTTTAATGAGTTTTTTTTTTTCTCCAACTCTTATATCCTATATTTAGTAATAAATTATACAACCAAATGATGTGTAGTCTACTGCTCGCGTCTGCGAGCAAGTGTTGAAAGTTTGTACAAATAGGAGCTTCGTTGCAAGGATCCTTGAAACAGAAGCGACGGAGGTCAGGACTAGCGGAAGTCGATCTCATCTCAACAGGAACAAACTTCAGTCATATTCTAATGTGAACGGAAGTGAAGGAACAGCGTTGCTCTCTGTTCCATCCATGGCCTCCTACTCACATTTCATACTCAATCAAGACGTCATCAATATGAACTCTTTTATACAAACATAAAAATGAGATTTATTGTAATAATTACTACAAAAAAGAATACTAGTTTCGTTTCGCTACTCCAATATAGCTGTGTGTTTCCACAATAACTCAGCACGCTATTTCCAGATTTCCAATAAATGTCAAATATTAGCGAGTATTGGCTATTCTGTTTACATCCTACAAAGCTACCTTGACATATACATGTTGTTTAAATCAAGTTAGGATAAATTTCCGCCTTCCTAAAACGAAAATATATAAAAATAATAAAATACGTAATACGTTCTGTTAAAAAATAAGTTGAAGCTCATTTGCTTCCAACAAAAAATAATAAAATTTAGTTAAAATGATTCTCTTCATTGATACGAAGGAAATCAGCAGGATAATACATATACAGGGTGTCCCGTAAGTAGAGGGAAATTTTTTAGGAGTAAAAAATTTCACTAAGAAAAGTTCAAATAAACAATGGGCCGATTCTCAGCAGTAAAGTAGGAAATCTAAGTTTCGTGTTTCTTAGGTAAGTCATGCTTCTTAATAAATAGGAAGCGATGACTGAAGAAATATTTAATTTAAGTAATTAACAATTATTTTACTGTAAAGTAGATAAAGCTTTCTTCAAATGAAAACAGAATTTGTCATTGTTAAAACCATTTAAAGAGGACTTCTGAGCGGCTAAACTTGGCTAAATTCTATTTTTTTTTTTAATCATAAATTATTGACAATTTTTTTTTATAATTATCTAACTGTACTACAGATACCCCACTTTTAGAAAAATATCTTCGTTTAAATAGCTTCAAGTCCATATTAATTAAATTGAGATTTATTAGTCGAAATCGTGAGATTCAACTCAAGTTTAAGTATATATACTTGACTACAATTAATTAACCAAATTCACTACAATTAATATATTAGTCCGTGGTACAGACCCCTTTTATCGAATTATTAACATCCGTCTGAAACTTCGCAAATAGTTTCATCTCATCGTAACCTACAACTATTTTATTTAAGAAAACTCTCGGAATTGGAGCGTTTTCAATCTAAGGGCTGCTAAAAACTTTGTCTATTTAATTAGGTACTAAAAACTCGTAAATACCCATTTGCCTTCTACTTGAATCGTAAGATAAAGTAGAAAGCAACATCGAAATCGATAAAAAAGGTGGCCTACAAAAATATTGTGCCGTTTGTCCTATATAACCTCATTATTTTGAAAATTTGGGGATGTAGGTGACGTCAAACGGCTCAATATTTTTGAAGGCCCATTTTTTTCTCGACTTTGTGATCAATTTACCTTAGGTTTCAAATAGAAAGCAAATGGGTATTTACGTATTTTTAGTACCTAATTAAATAGACAAAGTTTGTCCTTCTACAAATTGAAACCGCCCCAATTTCATGATTTTTCGTAAATAAAATAGTTGTAGATTAAGATGAGATGAAGCTATTTACGAAATTTGAGGCGGATGTTAATAATTCGATAAAAATGGGTCTGTACCACGGACTATAACTGTAGCAAAGCTTTTATTTCTTGTTTTTTCTTGATCTGAGATATATTATAATAAAAATGATTTCCTAAATATACTCTGGCAGCCAGAGGGCTTCGTGAGGGAGATCGGATGGACAGGGAGCAGTGGCTTTTGGGTTTGGGGATATGACTCTTTAAGTTGTATAAAACCCAAATATATAAAAAAAATATTCTTTTTATTTATAAATAAAAAAATAATTATTTGTTAAATAATTTTCATGCAAACTGTATTGTTCTCCCAGATCTCTTTCAAAGGAGTTGATCCGTATTGTTAAGGGACAAATATCATGTTTCTAGTCCTGAGATTTGCGTTTTTATAAAAATACTTGAAGACATCAGCAGGGTCTTTATCAACCTTTTAAAAAATTTCCTCAACTTGTGGGACACCCAGTACATACATAAACAAAATAAAACTTAAACTAGTCAAAACAACTTAAATACAGGTATGCTTGTACTACGAGAACTACTACCCAAGTCTTCTTTAGTACTGTTTAAGTCTTATCTTACCTTCTACTTTATAGATATTTCTAATTTTATTTATTATATTCTTTCTCCTTAGGAGTTGGGCTGGCTGTTGCTGGTGAAAGCAGCGCTGGCAGTAGTTCATCAGCTTATGCTTCTTCATCTGCGTCGTCCTACGGTGGAGGTAAAACCATGTTTTAGTTAAAAAACATATCTTAAGTTAAAAAACATATTTGTATTTATAAAAAACATTTGTGTTGTTTCTTATATTGTTTGCTGTAAAAACAGGCACGCGTTACGTTGTAAGCTAAGAAACTGCCTAGGGTTCCGAATAGACGAACATATAGGATTTTGGAAACTACCGAAGTCCATAAAATAATCGAACAACTCTAAAAAAAACATTTATTATTGATGCTCTCCACTAGTGGATTCAGGATTTAATTTTGGGAGGGGGCTTCACCCCGAAAGATTTTTTTTCATATACATATAACGATAATTAATTTGAAAAAAAAAATAAAGAAATTAATTACCTATATGGAATGGTATTTAAGTGGTTCTTGAAGTCTTATTAAATATAATTACACGAACAAGAATACTTTAAGAGATAGTTTTTAATCTTTTTTTCTGTAAAAAATGATTATATTTTACCATTTTGGGGGAGGCTTCAGCCCGAAAGCCCCCTCCCCCCGTAGATCGGCCTTTGATGCTCTCTAACAAGAGGAGGATAAGGGCATGAGGTCACCAATATCAATTAAATTTTTTTTGTGATAATAGATCGAAAAATATTATATCCATGTCCGAAGGTTCTTGCCAATGCGTCCTAGGAGTCGAGAAAAATATATTATATAAATATTCAACATAATAGTATTTAAATATTATATTACAAAAAAAGAATTCCCCTCTTGCATGTCCAAAAAGCAAGTTCTCTACGTGTTTCTTTATCTTGATTTTTTATTTCAGAATTATATGGATTTTTCCATCTGAATTTTTATAAATAAATAACTCATGCCATAATTTTAATCAGTTCCGCTGATGATGTAGTATGCATTTTTCTTTCCCATCTTCAATAACACATTAAAAAGTAATAATTATCTGACGAGATTCTTGGAATCTAAATGTTCAAACTTTAGGGGGAAACCCCAAGCATAAAATATCTATCCAAGACAGGATTTAACGATTCTTCAAAATTTACAAGGCAATGAATTCTCACATTTTTTTTAATTTTTATTTATTTATTTATATGATATTTACAACTGTATACAAAAAATATATCTAGTAAATTCACACATGTATATAATGACATGAAACACATGTTGAGAAACTACCCATTGGTAGCACTCTAATAATATGTCTATATTAGGAGATCACGTGGATCTTCTTTTCAGACACCTCGGAGGATTATCAGGAATTGAATAGGAAGCAAGGTTAGAAACAAGAGGGTTGGGATGGTTATGAAGTTTATTATGGAAGGACGGATATCTGGATTGGGCCAAATCTGATACATAACATTAAGGCCATTATGAATGATTTTATTTGTAACAAAGTAAGGAGCATTGAGGATTTTACGAAGAATTTTGGATTGTAAGGATTGGATACGAGAGGAATTTGAAGGTTTGGTGGAGCCCCATAGCTCATTCGCTTTTAAATTTCAATAATCGATACATAGTTACATTTGAAACTGTCTACATCGAACTTACCTATATCGATTTTTTCTTTAGGAACCTTGAATTTTATTTGAAAAGTATAAGGTACATATACTAAAAAAAAAATCTATGGAATCAAACAAAATGTGACATTAAAAATATAAATGCAGTTGTCATTAAAAAAAACCTTTGTTTACATTTACACTAGTTGGTAATAATTACGAAGGAAGAAAAAAAACAAACTTGTTTCACTCTTTTAAAAAGCATAGGAAGTATATGACCTTGTTCAAGAAGCAATGTCGGTACTGAAATAACTAAGATTCACTCTCCTGTCTCTTTCTCAATATAAAGTGAAGCGTTCATTTTAAATTCAGTTTATCTTTACGTTCATTGTTACGAACATGGCTCCTAAATGAAAATCATTAAGTGTGAGAAAAACGTTTAACTTAGTAAAACTCATAAAAAGCGAGAAGGAAAAAATATTTATTTACTACAAGTACCGTACCGACAATTTGCCATAATCGAAATCCGAAGCGTTATTTACATGCTTAAAGAGAAAATATAGAGAGAAATTTGGTTTGACAGTAGAGGAACCATTCCTCTATCAGATATTTTTTTGGAAAAACTGGGTATAGAAAGGACTTTACTAAGCATATAAGAAACCATTATTTTGGACGTACTGGGAATCCAATATCTCTATCCATATTGATTATAGGCATCGCTTTATTAAATTCTATACACATGAAGGGAAAGAAAAGGAAGAGTATAAAAATATGTAATATTGGGTATTTAGAATGATAGTTTCGTCTAACTGTACCTTTTTTGTGTCATTTTCTTAAATATCATGGAATAGACTAATAAGTGTGCTGTGTCATTTAGCAACAGATTCTCAGAAGAATTCTGTCTCTATAATATATGTATAATAATGTTCTAAAATTTTAGATGGTTATGAAAACAGTCTATATTATTGAAATAGATATTTGTTTAAAAAGGGGAATTTCGTCGTATTTATTTACACGACAATCTATAATAAAACCTATCATAGTATTTTTTATTTTAAGTTTCTAACATTATATAATGTTTATATTGTTTTTTTTATACTGTTTGCAGGAATAGGCAGTAACGCATTAATAAATTTAACTGTTATAACGAGTAGATTATAAGTAAAATAAAAACTTATTGGTTCGGCTTCATCCTGTATTTCTTGTTCACAATTCGCCATACTTATTTGTTAAACCATTCCGTAAGTTTAATCAAAATAAATTCGCATATTTACTGTTATGATATTACAGACGAGAAAATAAGTAAGGATTTAGCAGAAGATAAATAAAACTTCAATCATAGTTCAGACGAATGTTCAAGTTTTGAAAAATCCCGAGAGAAGTTCCGTCAGTGATGAGATCTTGTCGTCCTTGACACGACCAAAACACTCGTCAGTCCGGCAAATAAACCTAAACCTTGAACCTCAAACCCAAAGGCTGATAAAATAATACTAGGAATAGTAAATGATATATTATTTTTATATTAATATGAAATTTTTTTTTTTAAATATACGCAACTAAACCTCAATATATAAAACTAAAAGATGATTACAAATGATAATTTAAATATGAAAAGAAGAAAAAAAAAACACGCAAAGCACAACTATTTTCTCTTAATATTGATTTTAAAATAGATGAAAAATTTATTACCCTGTTCTCTTTGATAACCTTTGATACAATACAGTACTTTATTATTATAGTATTTCAGAAAAAATACAAATAAAATTCAATTACTTAATTTTCATCCATATGTAGATTTGTACCTACTCAAAAACTTTCAAACATTTTTAAAATATTTTTTTATGCTAAACTCTTACCTAGCTGAACTCATTAGAAACTATAATTTAATTTCATTAGACATAAATACTTCTTCAAGAACGTTTAAAATTAATCTCTAACTATGGCAGACTTAGGATTGTTTCAAAAACCTTTTTCGTATATATTCTTTCTATCATTTTTTAATCATAAAATTAGGAATGTACATATACTTGTAATTTTTTATATAGTAACGTATTTGTAGTATATATATAATTCGATTCATGTAAAAACATATTTAATAAATTTTTAAGTTGTACCTAAAAACATTTAGTAGCATATTGATATAAAATAAAATATTTTCAAAGTTGTAGGCCCTTTAAAAAAATAATTAGAAAATAGGTGGTTTAGATGTATCAACAGTGCTATAAAAATTGCTTATTCTTGACCTTATACAATATTTAATTTAGAATAAAAAAATTTACAAAAAAAAGTTTTTTGTTTAATTAATACTGATGATAATATTATGATGAGAAAACAAGGATGTAAAACATTATTGCAATGGGTCAGAAGATAACCTAAATCGATAAATTAAATTCGTATTTGGTGGGCATTTCAATAATTTATCACCGGCATGATAGATAGTAAATTGTTGATTAATTTTACGTTTTTTCAAACTCCTCTTCGTGAATTAACAAATGCGCTCGAGTAGTGCTGGCAACGTCGTTAGATTATATAATAAACTATTACAGAAAACGTTACTTTGTAACTATATCAGACTACTTCTAAATATTTTCTGACTTAGTAATAATTGCCTTTATGGATAAATGAACCAATAAAAAGAAGTACCAGTAATGTTATAAGTACAGATGTGAGCAAAGAACAAACAAACAATAAACAAAGAACAAAAGTGAATCAGGTATTAGAGTCGTTGTGCAGCATTACAACCAACTAACAATTCATGTCTTCCCAAATAACAGTTACCTGGAGTCCTTGTTCTGTGCGGCGACTATTCAGTTTAGAATATACCCCACCCTGTGTACTTAATCGGGAATCGGGATATGGTCTACCAGGATGTTAGTAGCCCCCCTGAGTTCGGGTCCATGAATGTTCTGTTTCGGAGAAAGAAATATAGGTCCTCTTGCGTCTGCTCATTCCGAGCAGCCATAATCCATGGATCTAGACCGATTTGTCACTGTCGTGGAACCCGAGTGAGTCTGTTGAAAGGACACTGTCAGATTGGTCCCAAAGAGATTGGTTATGGAGCTATGGGTGGCCTACCGCTGCACCATGGAGACCATGGTTCGTAGCAACGTGAGGTTGGGTGATCCACTCCGGGATCTGGGCAGCCGCAAGCAACATACATCTGTAAGGAGACCACATCTCGCGGCCAAAGATTTTCATGGTCTGTAGCGCCAACGGAGAAAAAATATATATATATATATATATATATATATATATATATATATATATATATATATATATATACACATTTATAATTTCTGTCGTAGGCTTATGTGAAGTTGATAAGTCGATAACGAGGTGATGTATTTGACGGATTCTTATCCGTCACTAGCTTCTCTCGCATAAAATAAAGCGGCAGACTTATAAGTTTTAAAAATGAACATAGACTCGAAAAAGAATACGGCAAAAAAATGATATACATATCTTTATTATGGTTACTAATTTCAGATCTCACAGGGGCTGCCCACAGTCTAGTAATATGTTTTTTGGCAATCTTTTATTTAAAGTAAAATATTATAATTACTTAAAAGTACATCTAACCTACTGGGGTCGTAACCAGGATTTTTCTGTTTACTTGGGTTTGAAAAAAACTCTTTGTTACTTTCAGTCCTGTCCCTGAATAATATATTTTATAAGACTACAAGTGCTATGCTGTAATTATTGAATCTTGATAAAGATAAGATTCCGCAGCCTTGGCCTTAAACTCTGAATCGCTATGGTAGAGGCCAGAACACATATTACAGTAGTTCACTTCTTATAATGGTTTTATAAATTATGCTTATGATAAAGGTATAAACTATGCCTTCTAGTTCTTGTTTAATATTATAACAATTGTCTGTTATAAACTGTTTCTTTATATTTTATTTCTCCTCGTCAACTTGCAAAGCCCAATTCTTTTAAAATCAAAGGGCCTTTGAACTAGTTTTTCATTTTATTCGTTTTCCAAATATAATACATATTTTTAGAATATTCGATATCATTCTCGCTTACGTATAAAAGTCAAGTGTTCTGCAACTTTTTCTATATTGTTCAAATCACACGTTTTTCTCATTAGTTGAAATAAATATTTAAAAATATTGAAAATAGCGAAGATGCCGAAAACACTTAGGACTATTAACAACTATGAACGCCATTGGCAAGGCGGAAAATGTACTAAAACTGTTGAACGAAGTGGGGAAAGCGGAAAATGTGGAAGGTGGTCAAGGCACTCCATTGCTATGCTAAATATAATTATTTCTTGCCCCAGAAGTTACCACTTCAAAATAAATATTTTAAAATGATATCTATAAGTAAAGGATAAAAAAATAGAAAACTGAATCGGTTATTTCAATAACGATAATCTAAACCAAAATTAGGTCAATTTTTCACCTTTTTTTTATTTTAAATACATGGGTAATGGAAACGGAGTAGCTTAGTGAATTAGACACTTTACTCATCCTCCCGAGCATAGTTTACCTTCGGTTGGTAAGATATCTATTCTGTTATATCAGCCATGGATTGATTAAGTTGGTACTCTTAAATGGGAGTAAAACTTATAAAAGCAGTTGAGTGGTTACTTCCTCAGATGTTACTTCCTCCCACAACCATTGGCCTTAAAACAGTTCTTCCTAACAGTTTACTGAACCCCGACGCCTTCAAAAGTTGTAATGATGTATGGTTTTTGTTTAACTTAAGGCAAACAACATCAAAGTAGCCCTTGAAATAATTTCGGATGTCCAAGCCTGCTATTGAGAATTATAAAACTCTAATATGGGAATTATCAAACTAATTATCTAATGGGAATTAATTATCAAACTAAACAATACTGGTATGTACACTTTAGCCAGTTACTTAGCAACATTGGAGACTGCCTTGGTCTTATTTATTTTAATTTCATTCACTCATTCAACTTATATACATCTATTACATAATTTATTTATGTTTTTATTTAATAGCTTACAAATGTCTCATTATCTAAAATAGTCTAATATTATAGTAGACAAGCTATAGAATATTATCTATAGAGCAATTGTCAAATGATTTACAAATTTAATAAAAATTGTAAGTACATAAGGCATTAAATTAGAATTAATAGAAATATATCTTGATAAACATAAATAAGTTTATAATTTGTATTTCATTCATTTAACTACAGTGATTTTTAAAATGGTATAAATTTGAATATAGTCTGGCAAGATTTATTTTTCAAAATAAAAATTTATAGAAATAATAATATATTTGTGTTTTGTTCATTTTTCGCTTCATATTTTTGGTGGTGGTGAAATGGGTATACATAAGGAGTTGGCTTAGTCCATGCCTTCGCAGGATCTGGAAGTTCCGGATCTGGTGGTGGAGGAACTCCAGGAGGCTATGGCTCAGGCGGATTTGGTGGCAGTGGAGGAGCTCCAGGAGGCTATGGTGGATTTGGTGGTCCTGGAGGATATGGAGGAGGGTACGGTCCTGGATATGGTGGATACGGTGGATATGGTGGAGGAGGAGGGTATGGGCCTGGATATGGTGGAGGCGGCTTTGGAGGTAGTCCCTTTGGCTTCCCAAGTCCCCCAGGTTTCCAAGACCTCAATTCCTTCCAAAAATTCCTTCAAGACTACCTCAATCAAATGCAAGAGTGGACCAAGCAGCAAGCACAAGCAGCATCAGCTAATGCCATCCCGTGAGTATTTTATCATTAGCCTAGTTTGTCAAGAAGTTTAGAAAGAGTATAGTCCTTTCTGAAGAATACTCGTTTACTGGAAAATTAAATGTAATTAGTTATTAGAATTGTGCATTTCTAAAACGTTGTAAATGCCAAAATTTGAACATATTACTTTTCATACCAAAACACGTTGTAAATGCCATATCTATCTACGGCAATACAACTTGTCTAGATAGTGATGAGTCTATCCAATTTTTTCTTTGCAAAATGTGTTTTTCCTTCTTCTTGTAAAATTTTACTTTTGGCAGTTACAACGTTTTGGAAATGCACAATTCATTAAGTGCCATTAGCAATTAATCGATCCCAATCACTTTTCATGAAACATAGAACTATAATAAAATTCATTCTGATTCAGTTAATACTTTGCCTAATAAAGATTTTTTTATTTGAAATACATAAACAAAAATAGCCCTATGGTGTACAGTAACAATAAAATATTTTAAACTTTACTAAGTATTTCAATTGAAATTTATGCATTCTTTGAATCATACATGGAAGTTTGAAATGACCTCTCACAGCGTATTTATAGGTATTCCTTCAATCTTATTCACTAACGGATCCAGGATTTAATTTTGGGGGGCTTCAGCCAGAAAATTTTAAATATGTTGCCTTAATAGCAACACACACACACACACACACACACACACACACACACACACACACACACACACACACACATATATATATATATATATATATATATATATATATAAAGTTTTCTGGCTGTAGCCCCCAAGATTAAATCCTGGATCCGTTAGTGAACAAGATTTATATATATGTTGTGACGTTCCCTTTGTCAACATAAATCAAACAACGAGTTTCCTTTTTCAATATATTATTTATTTTAACACATATAACATAAATCTCAGGTTGGGTTCGGACAACTGAACACTCATTCAACATTAAATAACTACAATGTACACTAATTTACTAATTACTAACTACACTTATTTATAATTTAAAATATTTTATAAAATAATTTGTCCCGGTCTAAACTTTTGGTTCTATCCCTCTGTCAACATAAATGGCATTGTTAGCACTCACCCAAATGTTTACGCCTGCCAGCAAAATAATCTCTTCTTACTTACGAATGTCCCGTTTTCTGTACCACTTAATTATTTTCTGCTATGTTGTTTTCTTCCAACATAAAATAATCTTCACTAGTGGTCTCTATCAACACTCGAACCGGCTAGGACTCCTTTTTCTATTTTCTCAACTTGCTGGCTGGCACCTTCTCACTTGGCAGCTCGTCACCTTCCCTCTTGACAGCTTGTCACATTCTCTCTTGGCGGCTCATAACCTCCTCTCTTGGCCGCTATTACCTTCTCTCCTGGCGGCCCGTCACATTCTGAGTTACATGAGGCTTGCTTCCCCCAATTCCTCCCCGTAGTTCGTGCCGTTATTTAAATGCCATGTAATGTTGACATTACAATATATACAAGGATTATTACTTTGGGAAAAAAGAAATAAATTAAATTTAAAATACGAAAAGGTGTTTAAATGATTCTTGAAGTTCTTTTAAATATAATTACATGAACAACAATACTTTTAGAGATAAGTTTTTAATATTTATTTTATAATACATGGTTATTTCTTAAAATTTTGAGGGGGGAGCTTCAGCTCGAAAGCCCCTCTCTCCTATAGATTTGCCTGTGATCTTATCCCAAATATACTATTTAAAGGTTTCTGTTAAATTAAATTCTTTTGTTCGCCATCTTTGACACCATTTTGACAAGGTACAGCTAGCCACTTTGGGAACCTTGATTTTTTGGCTAGTTGCAAGAAACACAACAAGGTATGAGCATGTGGAAGGGGAAAAGTTCACAGAGGAGCGATGGATGCAAATTGTGCACATGTGTGTCTGGTTTGCACTTGGTTTGTCAATTCTCCTCTGATTGTTTGGATAACACTGTGTTGTAAATTTTTAAACAAATATCCAAATTAATAAATGGCTTGATAAGTCATAGTGCTCCATAATCAATTAATTATGAATAAAAAATGAAAATAAAGAAGAATGTTTTAAAATTAAACATCGATTTGAAATTAGAAGGAGATAAATCACCTCTTTTTACTCATTGTTAGATAATACATAGTCCTCTAAAGAGAGTCAATAAATATTATTGATACCATTCATTGGAATTCCCATAACACAACTATAATTTATATAAATAAATTAATAAATACCTCTATCATGAATGATAATCAATGATGTATCAAAATACTAAAGTAAAGTAAGTTTTGCTGAAATCAAAAGGTAAAATTTTAGAAAAAATCTCCATAAAGCAGTTGCTTTGATCATTTATTTTTACTGTGTTGTGATTTCTTTTTAAGTTTTAAAATGTAATATTTTTCTTCAACAGTTTGTTTTTTTTCTTATATTTTTTTGTGTTTGTAAGAGATATACTATATTTTAGCTGATGTATATTCTTGGCTTTTGGACCGTCTGCATTTTTTATTGTTTATTGTGAACTATTTACTAAATGTAAAATTCTTTGTAATCAACTTTTTAAAATACTTTATGTGTGTCAAAATCTTTTTCTTTTTGCAAGACTAATAATCATTAATTAATCAAAAATATTTTCTTTGTTCCAATAATTTTCTGCTAATAATCTCTTTTTTAAAATGAATAAAATAATAAATAAAAAGTTTATTTACTTACTCTAAAATAGTTAATATATTCTCTAATAGAACCTGTTTTCTTCTCTGATAGTACATATGTTAACTAAAAACTGTGTTTCTGTTCTTTTCAATTTAAAAATATTTCTGACTCTTTGAATTACAAAGAGAAAATTTTCCTTCATACTCCTATTACTGTATCTGTGATTTCTTTTGTTCTTCATATCTACTTCTATATTTTCATTTTTTGTTTCTTTACTTTATTTGCTATTTAAAATTAAAATGCTTGAGCATGTTTCTTAGTCCATGTTTTCGGTGGCGGAACTCGCTGAATTCGAGAACATGAGCTAAATGTATGTTTTTAATATTTTAATCAGAGGTTGTCCAACCAGTGGCATAGGAGATAGAGTTGGTGGATTCCCCACGCCAGGTGGTGGAGTTGGAGCAGGAAGTGGCGATGGATCAGTTGGTGCCGTCGCAACTGGATCTATAGGACCCGGAGGAGGTTATGGATCAACTAAAGTTTTCCCATCTAGTGGAGGATCTGGTCTCGGTGATAGGTTTGGTGGTTCTGTTAGCGAGTCTTCAGGACCTTTCCCAGCTCCTGGCGGTGGCTCTGTAGGAATTTCATCTTTCTCAAGCTCCTCTTCATCAGACGTTGATGGTCAGAAAACTGCCCAGAAGTCTGCAACAGTTTCTGTAAATGATAATGGAAAAGTAACAACTTATACTTCTCATGATCCTTAAAAACAAACTTTCTGAATATTCTCTCTACAATTTACATAATCTCTATTGTGTATCTGAAATATGATTTTAGATTTCAATATGTATGATTTTCAGCTGTAGCGATAGCTTCTCATTTTAAACTGTTTGTTTTATTTATATATTCAGAGAAACGATGCAACATTTTAAAATAATCTCAAGTCCAAAAAAAGAACTGCGTTTTTTTTATTGTTATGTTAACTTAATCAAAATCCATCTTATTGTATAATAGTTAAAACTGGAAGATATCTCTTAATTTTGAATCTGTGATAAATTTGTTGTTAAGTAGCTGAGTTCTTTAGAATAAGAAAAATAATTTAATTTATAGATTGGTACCATGTTGCATTTAATGAAAATTGGAAATGCGTACTTAACTAATTATCTAAACTTTGTTTGTACATAAGAGCAAGTTAATTCACTTTATTAAAAATAAAATTAATTATTCTTAAACAATGTGTTTTCTTGAGTGAGGTGTTTTTCCAGATAAAAACAATAAGCTTAAGCTATTTTATATATTTTTTTTGTTGAACTGCAAAAAAAATTTAATGTTCTCAGTTTGAAAATTATTTTTCTTAAAATAATAATTGAACATTTATTTTCATAACTGATTATTTTGAGCAGTTTACAATACAATAGGTGAAAACGAAGATGAAAAAACTAAAGTGATGAACCAACTTGAATAACCTCCATACCTAGTAACCTAAAAACTTTGGTAGCCAGAGAGAAAAATATGAATATAACAATTAGCATTTTTAAATTGTCTCTAGTGTTAATGACAGAGCTCTGTGGTACCACCAATGCCAGAAAAAATTATGCCAGATATTCTCCTGTGACAAACGCCTTTAAAAGAGCTTTGGCAGCTCTGATGCCAGAACTCTATCATAAAAACTCCAGTGTGTATGATGAAGACTTATAAATTGATATGTTAGTTCAAATTCATTAAATATAATATTTATAATTTGCTATTATTTTTACACAGACAAGTAATTCTATTCATCAATTTTTAGAAACTATTATGAAAAAGAAAATATGAAAGGAACATAAATATAAGTCAAATCATCCCAACTAGTACACAATTGGTTTACAATAAGATCAGTGTTAGACTATAATGTTATAAATTATTAATCGTGGTGAAGTTGCTTTATTTTAATATTATTTTTAGAATTTTCAGTTTTATTAATGTTCAGTGGAATTATAAGCTCTTGAATAATAATTTTATTGAAACAAATGTTAAATATTTAATTTTAATGGCTATTCATTAAATGTATGTTTTAGTGATGTATTTCAAATTGTTACTGTAAAAAATAAAATGGGAGTATAGAGGGTGGGCACTGACTTCCAGAGCTCAAGGTCGCAGGTTCGAATCCAGTTGATGACTAGTAATTTTTTGATCAATCGTGGATCGATCCTGGGGCCGGCAGACTCCTCTCCTTGGGCAAACCCAGCCTCTATAAAGTGGGTACTCTTAATTAAATAATTAATTAAGAAGAAAATTCTGGCGGTTGAGTGTGATATTGGCCCGTCACCTCACTGCACAACCATTGGCCTTGTAACAGTACTTCCTCAAATTGTACTGAACCCAAGACCCTTCATGGGTTGTTAGTGAGTGGTCCGGGTTTTAAAAAATAAAATAGTCAATTATTTATAAATATTCAAAAAATTATCTCTAACTTAAAAAGAGTGTGAATGTGATCTGTGAACACTATTATAAATGTCCTTGAGACAGATTGTAATATTTTTCAATTAACAAGCTTAAAAAAAAAAAAAAACTTAATAAAAGTGAACTAAGATCAACTCACCTGTCCTTCGGCAAACCAAATTTTGACTCTGACATGGTACACAAATTTTCTCTTCACAATTGGGTTAAATTAGGTTATAACCATGATTTGGGCCGATACTCGTGTGGAATCTGTTTATTACAAAAATGAGTATCTCATATTAGATATCCACGAATAAGGTATTGTTCTTTAACAGATACCTACCTGCACTTCTTGTTGTTGTTGACTGATAGATCTATATAAATATTAGATTTTTTTCAATCCTCCAGGTTTAAAAAAGGGGGGGAATCAATAACATGACTCAAAGGCATGGCAACTACAAGTCATACTACAGTGTGAGGTTTTTGAATTTCTCTGCCAAAGAACACTTGCACTTCCCTCTTTCAGATATTCTAGATGCTGCCACGATTCACTAGACTTAAAACAGTGTGAGAAGAATATTCCTAACTCTTACAGGTAAGTACTAATTTAGTTTTACTTAAAAATAGTGATTTATCTTATTAAATAATTTAGCGACACCTCTAGGGCGTGTGATAGCTTAAAACAATAGAATATGAATGGCAAATGTTCATATTGTCATTTTTAAATAAATATTTTAATTATTTAACATTTCTTTTCTTGGATAAAAAAAAATGAGGAATTCTTAGTAATGGAATAATATATTTTACATGTATGTAGTTTATTTGATTATGCCTTATACCAATCCTTTAATTTTTTTATTCTCCAATTTTCCACCTCAGATGTCTACTTCTCTCATACAATGGATGGTTTAGTTCATAAGACATATTTCCTTGGTTAACTATCATGCTAATATTTTCTAGGAACTATACGATTCACAAACAAATAATGAACCTGCCTTTGCATATATGTATATACTAGCAAATTCAAGGAACATCTTTTAGGGTGAAGTCTCTTCAAAAATAGATAAATTATGTATTTTTCATTGGTGAAAAAACGATGAAGAGTAAAGTTGATTTGACAGGATTTATTGGAATTTATTTTAATTGTCCAATGTTGAAACCATTCTTTGAGGTTTGTGATGTGTGATTGGAGAGTTTGGGATGCAATTATTGGATCATCGTCATCCGTGGTGATGACAGTGTTGGGGTGGGTTGGGATGTCAGCTGTATAAACTGTGTAAAGGATAGGACCTAGGATACTATCTTGGGGAACACCTGCGGACTGGGAAAAGAGGGATGAATAAGCATTATTCTGATTTACTTTTAAGTATCTATCAGTTAAGTAGGAACGAATAATGAGGAAGTATGTAGGATCTAGGAATTTACGGAGTTTGTAAAGCAGTCCTGAGTGCCAGACTCAATCAAAAGCTGCCCTGCTCACTTGAAAAAAGAAATTTCTAAGTTAGCGATACGAGTTTTGGAGACATGGTATTGGCAAAGAGGTAGGGTGGAATAGTGTTGACAAAGGTGGGTTAAATAAACAGAGTTGGCTGTTCTAATAAAATTAAAGATAAATGTGGACATGTTCTTGAATTTAGTGCAAGTTCTATTGAATCCATAATTATAGGTGGTCATTCCTAAACTCAGTGATGTTGAGTTTAGGAATGAATTTTTACCAAATGCTAACACTCCTAGATAGTAACAAATATGAAAAATAAATAAGAAAATTCACATTTACAGAACTGTTGAATTTAAAAAAAAATTAATATTGATAGAAAATAAACTGAATATGAATATGGAAAGTAAATTGAGAAATAACAACATTAGGATTAGAATAATGATGTTACATACAACAGATCCATCAATCCTAAAAGCCATTAGAACTGCAAAGCTATTGGTGATTCAGTCGATGATTAAAGGAACTCGCTGAATCACATAAACAGAGTCCATCAATGAGCTTAGGAATGATGCATTTACATTGCCATTAATGAGCTCAGTGCTGAATTTAGCCATTATTCTATGATTGGAAAAATAAAAATGAAATGAAAAGAAAATACCTTTATTATTGTGGGACTAGTGTCCTTTAGAAAAAATAATATATACATAAAAATAGAACAATTAATGATTTAGTCACCAATAGTTAAAACATATGTATGTAGTAATATTATTCTCAAGAAATATATTTCTTTTTCATTTTTTTATAAATGTTTTTCTGATTTTATTTTTCACATTTTATAAAAAGTTAATTTGTGTTAATTGTGTTGTGGATGTTAATCCACTTAAATTTATCAAACATAAGTTTCTTAATCTCTCACTGTTTTGATTTTTCACTTGCACCAAAAAGATTAAATAAAAATCAATTAATTGAAACTACTGCGAACGGATGTTGACTGGATGTTGTTGATGAGGATTCCTCCAATAGCAAGGACCTTGGAAACATGGGTTCTTTTTTATCTCAGGCCAGTGAGGCTTGTACTCTGGTAATGTTGATATTTCAGGGCTTTTAAGGACTTGTTCCACATTCACCGTGCCTCTATAAACTGGAACCTCACCGCTTTCATTTTTCTTTAAAGAAACTACTTTGTTCACTTTTGCCATTATTGTTGCGTTCAGTTCTCTCAGAAGTTTCTCTTCATCAGGCACAGCTAAGCCTTCAATGACTGGAATTTCAGAATCCTTTTTGGCTTGCTCTATCATATCATCTACTTTTTGGACAGTACTTACTTTAGTGGGCACAAAGTAAAATTTGCAAAATTCTGTTGTATAGGGACATCCCTTTGAGTTGGAAACAGAAATAAATTGCTTATTTCTATCAGGTTTTGATGTTGGAACAAAGTTAATTTCGTAGAAAGCTTTGACTATTTTAGGACTTAAGCTGCTATCGAGCATTACAGGTTGCCCATTTGGACCAATTAAAGATGTAGGATCAGGCAATTCCAGCTTTGCCTCTATAGCAAACCCGACCACTGAAAAAAAAAATTGGTGTTAGTTTAATTTTATTTTTAATATTATTATTTGTAATTTAAGGCTCATTTAGTAGGCGATCAGACTGTTTGGACTGGATAAAATCGGAGCTCTGCCTACCTGATTTATAGGATCTGGTCTGATCATCTAAATGGTCCCTTAATTGGTATTAATTAATCAATAAGCATGTATATTATTTTTTTATATACTAAATTAAATTAAATTTCTATTTAACCAACTTTCTTGTGTAAATTAAAATATAACAAACTGAAATAAAATTTTACTGGTTATTTATAGCTTTTATAAAGACCTTAATAAGATGATCCTTCACCAAATTATTTAATAAATACTGTAATTTTGTAATCTCTTGTTTGAAGGAGATATTGTTTAGATAGTGTTAAATTGATTGATTAAAAATTGTTTCACTACAAATTGATTAATGTTAAACTAAATATTTCCGTTGAATTTATTAAACATTTTTGTATGTACTGTTCTAATTAATTTAGTCTATTTTTAAAGTTTGAATCTATAAATTTGCACTGTATCAATACCAAATTTATATATATATTTTATAAAACATGGAAGTACAAAAATCAGATGGATAGATCGAATCATCATAGATCGTGTAGAGCTCTATACAAATAACTGGAAAGAAATACCCCAAGATAGGCAGAGATGGAGAAGGCTACAAATGTGGCAAAAGATCTACGAGGTCTATAAAGCCAACAGAAAAAAATATATATATTTCTTATTACATATTCTATGTATAAAATGTGTTAGGGGCAGGATAGCCAAGCGGGCTAATGCGTGTGTGCACAGCACTGTCCATTGTCTGGTGACCTGATGACCAAAGTTATAAACGATAAAATAATTGTGAGTTCACGTCCCGGTGCCAAATGAGTCTTTTAAGTTGGTATTAATCCCCGCCCTCATCTTCTGGGTATTAAATTCCACCTTTTATCATAATTGGTTATATTATATGTATAATGGAATTCAATTAATACACTAATCCCCAACTTTTGAACAAATCGGAATAGTCATTTTAGAAATACATGTAACTGTGTCAAGGGAACAATGAGTGACTAAGATTAAGCAAAATTAGTGGGTGAAATTTAATATAATTTATACAAGACTATCTAAGTCCTATAGCCTAATGCATAATTCCTGGAAATTTCATTAAAATTCTACAGTAGTAGGTGTTACATCAGAGAAATGGGTTTGACTGGAAAACGGTCATGTAAGTGAAAAATTTTCAAATGTGAGGAATATTATTTTTTTACCTTGTGCATTAATAACAAACCTTCAGCTTCATCAATGAAGAAGCTAAATCATACTTAAGTTAGGTTGTAAAATAAAATGTTTGAAAAATTTATAAATTTTACATCATAGGAAAGAAATCAAAACACACTAAAAAATTTAGGTTTCCAAACAATGTTTATGAGCCGATAAAGTGTACATCAACATTCAGGTCCTGAATATTTTATGTATAATTGTATTGATGATTATGTTTTGTTGGTCAGTTGATACAATATTTTTTTTGAAGACTGATTAAATAATTAATGAAAAAAATTTAATTATTGTGTTAATATCGTTTTTAGCTAACAAATTTAATTTATTTCATGGATTGTTTTTCTAAGAAAAAGGGTCCATTAATGTGTGCAATTCTTTAATGTTTAAAAGTTAAAATTAGATTTAGAAATATTATTTTTACTATTGTCATGCCAACATTGTCATTAGAATGAATTACTTATTTAAAAAATCAAATTACCAGCACATTTCATTCTTTGAATTGAGAAAAAAGTCATATCTGACCTAGCTTCCCTCAACACTAGATAAGATCATAAATTGGGGGTTTTCTTGTTTTCTAGCACTCTTCCTAAGGACCTCTGATGACAAGATAATTTCAGAGGAAACATTCAGGCTGCTGACCCATGAAGGCCAAAGTATTTCAAACTGGCAAAATACCAGCCAGGAACTTCATACTCACATTGCACAAAAACAATCATAAGAATAAAAATTATCATAATTACAAATCTTAAGTTAAAAACTAGCTAAAACTTTATTATATTATGTGTTACAACTTAGCCTGATTAGGTTTTAGTTTAACATAACAATATATCTGTTGTGAGCTTGCTGAGAACAACAAGAAGTGGTCGTGCATACAAACATAATTTATTTTCTTTATATAATAGTTTTATTGAAAGTTGAAAACAATATATTTTTTTCACCGTCACACCCAACGCCAGTAGAAGAAGGAATGATTATGATGATGATGAAACAATATTTT